CCGAGGGGGGGCGCAGCGGCGTCGGAGGCAGCAGCGAGCGCGGGAGAGGAAGTGCAGAGGGGCAGGCACGGAGGCGGAGGCGCGGGGCAGCGGCGGGATCGCCTTTTCGGCAGGATCGGCCCTTGCCGGCAGGAGCAGCAGCGGCCAGGCCAGCAGGCGAGGCAGGAGCTCACCACTCACCAAACCACCCCAACCCAACCCGAAGGCCTCAATTTGACCTCCATTTCCAGTGGGGGGGGTCGCGGAACATCGAGAAAACACATATGGAACCCGTACCCCCCCCAACCCGAAATTCGGGTCTTCGGGTTGGGTTGGGGTGGTCTGGTAGGCAGTCAGGAGCTCGATCGGGCCCCGCAGCAGAAGAGCAAAGATGAGCAGGAGGAGGCGGAGTGAATGCAGGCGCACAGGGTATGAAGGAGGCGGAGGGGCAGGTGGTGCGACGAACACGTATTCGCGAGCGCGCATGCGGCGCCGTCACAGCGGCAAGCTCTCACTGCTTCCTCAAACTTCTTCATGGTGATCTTCCTTGTCGGACGCGGTTCAAATGACTCCTCCATGCAGGAGCGCAGTTTTTTGTCGTCACGTTCACATGTTTGTTTGGGCATAGGGGGGATTTCGTCGCCGTGGTTGAACTCGTTTCAGATGCGTCATGGCGCATGTGAAAGTCATTTGCGGGCGAAGGGTATATCATGGCAGGCTGCAACATTTGTGCGTTAAGCATTCGACTTTTGACACAGTTGAACGATGCCTGGGACCCGGGCCGGATGTGATCCCATGACCATGCACAGGTGGGTTCAGCCTTCAGTTTGGCGCGAGCAGTTCTGCGTCAGCCATTCAAGCTTTAAGACGTTGTTTCTTCATTACGACTTGGCTAAAGACGTCGAGGTATGGTTCCGCTGCGCCCCAGCCACGAGCGAGCCTTGGAGTAAGTTTGCGGTACGCAGAGGCAACGCTGCGCACCTGGCATGGAGACACGACAGAAGTGGACAGCGCTGGTAAGAATAGCTTGGCACACGCTAGCTTCAAACAATTGTCGACGCGTCGCGTATACCCACCAGCTGTGCGACTGCTCCTTCCGTCCGTTTCCAGTTCTGTGCTGCGTTCCCCGATTTCGGGCCGCCAGCGTCCTAATGAGGGTCATTTTGTCCATGGCACGTGCACCCGCTGCCGCGGCCTACGCACCTCTGCAGCTAATTATCTCGCCCTGTGCCCCAGTCGAGTCCGTCCCGCTTCTTGGATCTGTCCTTGTGAGCCGCCAATCAAAAAAGTATACCCACCAGCCCATCCAGAAGCGATGCCCATGGGAGTTGGGGTGGTCATGGAAGCGGGGGAGCATGCAGAAGAACAAACAGCGGGGGAAGCCGTCCAATACCCCAAGAGGGGGAGGAAGGAGGAGGAGGAGCAGGAGGAGGAGCAGGAGGAGAAGGAGAACAGGGGCGAAGAGGAGGAAGGAGCAAGAGACAGCGGACGAGGAGGAGGAGGAGGAGGAGGAGGAGGAGGAGGCGGAGTGGCATCTTGGCGAGCTCAGGGGGCCTCTGTGAGCGGCTTGGGTGCCTCGGGTGTCATCTTGAGGCGCCTTAGGGGGTCTCTTGGGAGCCTCTCGGAAGCCCTTCGGGCGCCTCTTGGGGCCCCCCATGCGCCTCTTGGGGCCCTCTTGGGGCGCTCTTTTGGGTTTGAGTGCCTTGGGGAGCGCTCTTCGGGCCATCTAGGAGGAGATCGATACCAACAGAGGGGAGCTCCAATTAGCCTTGCCATTCGAGGGTGCCTGAAATCGCCTCTTGGGCCCCTCTTGGGGCGCTCTTGGAGAGCTCGTGGGCGCTTTGGGGGCCGCCTGGGGGCTCTTTTGAGCCCCGTTTTGGGGCCCTCTTGGAGCCATCTTGAGGCCTCGGAAGGCCATCGAACGCAAAAAGGTGAGAAGGCTAAATTGATTGATTTCCCTCGGTGTTCGAAGGAGTTTGGCCTCTTGGCGGCATCCTTGGAGGTCTCGGAGGCGTCTTGAAGACGTCTGGGAGCGTTCTCGGGGCCTCCTGGAGCATCTTGGGAGCCGACTTGCGGCATTTTGGGCTAGATTTAGCCATCTTGGAGGTAATCTTGGGCTCCCTGAGGCCCTCTTGGGGCCATTTTGGGCGAAAAAGTATTCTCTGACGCCTCGCGGGGCGCCCCGTCCAGGTCCAGGGGAGGGGGTAGGGGGGGTAAACCCCTCCCCGAAGTGGAAGAAGGGGGCTGGAAGAGGAAACTCCCCAGACCACCTACGCCCAGAGGGTTTGTGGGACTATCCTGCCGAACGGCCCAATCATGCGAAGCTGCGAATACCGCCAGGCAAGTGGGAAGAAGGACGGAATGAGAGGTGAGGGGTGTGCCGACATGGGGCGGGTACGCAATGCGGACCTTGCCATTGGGAAGTCTTTTCCTTTTGCTGCCCGCCGTTGCGGGCGTTTGGCTTAATACAAGTGTGGCGCGCATTTCATGCTTCGTAGGAAGTAGAGAAAGAGCGGCTCGCGCGGGCCGCCATGTCGTTTGCCAACGTTAAAGATCACAGCACTCCGATGACCTTCGTGGAAGGGTCTATTGAGCTAGGAGAGGAGGATGAGGACATATCGTGCGTGCCAGGTGAACCTGCTCACCTGACCAAAAACAGCTTGTCAGCCGAACGAACGCAGGGTGATATCCACTGCGTTGGCCCAGGTGACAATTATCACCACAGCTGCAATGCAGCTGGCAGCGGTGGCGAGATGGCAGATAAGATTCTGACCGACCTCGCAAAGCCGGTACTCCGGGAAGCGAGTTTCGGCGTGCATCACAATATTTTTATTCCTGGAGAGAACGCATGATTCAGAAAAGGATTCAGAGATCGAGCGAGGATCCTCGCGATATCTCGTCCAGATGTCGCGGGCCTCGCCTAATTCCCGACCGTGCCAGGGTGCCGAGTAAGAATCGGACACAGGCTAAGCCGCACCAAGAACAGGAATTCGATAATGCAGCACTGCCGACGAAACACGAATGGAAGGCTCCAGGAGAGTACGTTCTGGCGCACGGGACGGTCCTTCGATCGGAATTTCAGGCCAAAATTAACAACGTGAATCAAGAGATCACGGAAAAGATTCAAGACGATGCGGGAGAAAGGGATCACGAAGAAACCGCGTTTGGCGATGAATACGATCACCCGCCCTCCTCGGCAGAAGCTGACGATGCCCAGGTCGGTCAGCATGCGTTTGGACATCGCTGCGCCGATCTATCTGCAACCGATGAATTCGACTATCGGAAAGTCCGAGTCCCATCAATTGTGGAAGATCCCATGGGAACAGCGAGAAACCTCCAAGAGGTAACCCTTGCCGCCCCATAGGACGTGCTTCCCGATCTCAATACTGACATTGGCACGAGGGGGTGTGACTCTAGAGCGAGTTCTCACGACCCAGGGAGAACCAGAAAAGATGATGAAACTGGGGGTCTCAATAATGCCGCAAAGAGGCATCGCCCAGCGCCGTCGCAATCACCCAGGTTCGGCGGCAGCCCGCCAGCGAACGTCGGCACTCGTCGAGGAAGGTCTGCAGGGCCCGAAGAGGAGAGAGCCTGGAATAGCCACCCCGATGACTCCCGACAGGAAGACAAGGCGAGTAGGAACCCGTCGAATACCTCGCAGCTGAGCCCGGCTAGGGCTCCGCCCACGCGGACCAAGAGTGACCAGTGCAATATGAATCGCACGAAGTCCTGGCCATGTGCCTCCATCAGGTCTGGCATGTCGAGTGCCGGCATGATCTCTGCAAAGAACGTTGGCGGCCCGCTGTTGGGCGCGGGAGCGCGACCGAGCAATGGTGCCCACGCCACTCAGGAAACTGCACTCGACTTGCATACTGGGCATTGCTCCTAGACCTGCCAGGAGCGAGGTGCACACGTCTCATGCGATGGACGCATTGCACCAGCGAGCCACGACTGCATCGCATTGCGAAAGGCAGAGCGGCAGGTGGCCCTGCAGAGAGAGTTCACGGTCGGATTCTCGAAGACACAGGAAGGCCCAGAGCTCCAGATGCACATCGAGAGACAAAACCCAGGCCGAGGCAGCGGAAAATACTTACCTGGGCGATGGGCTTGCACTGAGATGGCCGAGCGCCGGGCCCGCGCAGAGCGCGAAAGGTCAGGGCCGAAGCTGGAAGGGGGAGCGAGGCTCGACGAATTGTCAGAGCCCCGAATCATCAGGGGCAACTCGGGTCAGGGCTAACTCGGGCTCCTTTTTCGGGAATCCAAACCCGAGTTACCCCGGGCCCGAGTTGCCCCGGATAACTCGGGCGCCCAAAATTGTCGGATAACATTTGGTTCGGCTAGAGCGCGAAGCTTGTGCCTTTGGCACGCCAGAGGCGGAGCGGACTGCCCGATTCGTTCAGACGTGGAAAGCTGGGGCCCAGGAAGTCACTAAATATGGATGAGACCAATGAGACCCGAGCAGCAAGTCTCGAGGCTGCACGCACTGCCCAGGCCCAAAGGACAGAAATCATAGCCACGGAGTTGGACAAGCAGGAGAAGGGCAATACCGATGAAAACAAGATTGCCGCTCCACGGGGTCAATGGTCCCACGCCGAGAGCGCAAGCTACGCTCGCCAAGCGAATTCCAAT